AAACCCAGTTGGGTCTATACTGAATAGGACCTCACTTACCACAGGTAGCAAATCGGAGATGTGGCTCCAAGAAAGCAACACTTAAAAAGTTGGAAAAAGAGGCTGGGAAGGGCCTTTGTGGTGGATGCCCAGCTGGTAACCAGAGGGAAATGTCTTTCTTTGAGAGACGATCATCGTCCGTTACGTCACTGTGCCAAGTCGGCTTACAAAGGCTCTCCATGAGGCCCTCTCCCACGCTGGTGAACTGGTCAGGGACAGGCTTATTGCCCACTACGATGTGAGAGCTGACCCCCCTCTCCACACTGTGGTCCCTCAGAGGCTAACGCCTTCTTCCATGAGTCGCCTTCCCGTCGGAAAGCAAGGAAGCCCCTAGTCTGTAGCAAGATCCTGGGCCCTCCCTGCTTCGTAATTTGCTTCTAGAACCTTGCTTTAAAAAAATCATCTGGCTACATCTCCTGCAAGTTCCCTTAGCCACTAAGGAGTAGAGCCAGGACTGGGACTGGCTTCTCCTGGAGGCCTGTCCGGTGCTCTGGGCCAAGCGGCCAGGCTCCCCTGCCCTGGACCTCCATGTCCCGGCTCTCTCTGCTTCCAAAACAGCCCCCGGAGATAGAGACCGGCGCTCAGGGACCGGGGAGGTGGGGGTGGCTGGCTGGGCCGCTGTGAAGACCTCAGTGCATGGGCAGTGCTGTGCGTACCCGAGCCATGGCGTTGGTGGGGGAGGGTGGTGGCAAAGGAGCTGCGGGGACCCTTTCTGCTGCCTGAGAAGCGGACTCTGGTCCGCCCCCAACATCTTCCCCGCCCGCAAGCTTGCCTGCTGTGCAGGCAGGTCCTCTGGGATGAAGAGGGGCTGTCCCAGACCCTTGCAGGCCAAGCGCCCCCTCTCTGTGCAGGAGCCCTGGCCACCTGTTGTTAATCTAGCCCTGGTAATCCATTCTGTACTGTGTCAGCAGTTCAAAAGGGCACTGTTAGTATTTTTTGCCGACTTCAATTAATGTGAGATTTCAGAGGCCCCTCTGATCACATTTCATCTGTCACAAGTCAGGAACAAAACAGACAGGTTCCAGTCGAGAGGAGGAAGGAGAAGGAGTTTATTGCAAACACCGACCAAACAGACAGGGTGGGCTGTGCCCAGTGAAGGGCACTCCGGAGCGCCCAGTTGCTGCCGCTTAAGCCATTTGGCCCCATGCCTAGGCCCTAGTTCCTTCTCGCCAATGTTCCTCCCCTCCCAAAGAAGATGTAAGTGCAATAACTTACTTTAAAAGGCAAGAAATGATTCTTTTAATAGTTTGCTATAATGTAGTTACACGGTGCTATAGGCAGTAAAACTTTATGGAACTGACCTCATTTTTTTAAAACATTTTTTCTGAATTTTTAATGTATTTTTAATATATATTTTTAATATTCCACCCCAGGCCATTAAGCTAAAGGAAAAGTTGCGTTTATACAGGGTTAAAATATCTTACAATGAGAACAGTCAGTGTTGGCTGAGGTTCACGTTCCTTGGAGCGCTCAGCTCTCTTTTCAGCCACTGCACATCCAAACAGATCATTAGGCATTGAAAACTGTCCTTCAAAATCAGTAGTATAAAGGCCTAGCTCTATGTGTGTAAGTGAAGGGGAAGGGGGGGGCGGGATTAGGTAACGTTTGGTTTGCCAGCAGGCCTCTCCTCCCTACAGCATCCTCGGTGAGGTGAAGCGGGGTTGTTGCGACTTTGGAAGTAGGGCTCTCGTGGTCTTCTCATTTTTCTCTCTCATGGCCATGGGTGATTATCCTGGGGCCGGTTTGCCAACCATCCTCCCCCCAGCTAGTCTTGTTTGCCTTTGCCCCTGACAGGGCCATGAGGCAGACCAGAGGCCCCGGGGTGTCCTACGAGACGGTCTCCCCTCAACCTGGCTGCCTAAGCGAGATACATGGTAGCTTTCATGGACAAGCTCCTCTTGGCTACCCAGCCGAAAGGAGGGCCCATGGGGCACTGGGGCTGGGCTCCACGTGGCCACTGCCGCGGATGCTGGGGACCCACCTCGAGACTGCTGCCCCTGTCCCCTTGCAGTGTCTTCCAACCCACCTGGCCACCATGCTTCCCCGAGCTGGAGGCACGGTAGTGAGAGCCGAGAATCAAGTATAGCGGAAAGGATTCAAGAAAGGTTACAAAGTCCATGTCCCGCCCCCGCTCCCCCTCCCCCCCCCCCCAGTGCTGAGGGTGGTAGCAGCACCTTCGTGTCGAGCCCCGGCCGCCTGGCCTTGTTCCCAGCGGGGCCCAGAGGCTCTCTGTGCCGAGGAGGCTGCCCGTTGGTCCGCTGGCTCCTCAGGCTCTCGTCTCTGTCTCTGTCGAGACCTTAGGCACGCAGCCAAAGGGAATCCTCAGCTCATGTAGCTTATTCGCTTGGCGGTGACCCGCCGGGCCGGCTGGCGCCCCTCTGCCCGCCTGCCCGAGCCCTCGCGCCTGAGGAAGCCAGCCCGCCAGCCCCGGAGAGTGGCCCCGAGTGTGCAGGCTCCTCACAGGAGCTGCCGCAGGGATGCCTCCTGCCATCCAAGGTCTGGGCCTGGCCACCCGCGGGGAAGGCAGCCGAGGGAAGGCTGAGAGGGAGGCCCGCCAGCAGAGAGGGGAGAGGCTGCGAGGGGAGAGGCGCGTGAGGCTCAGGCCCCGCGTGTGCCCCACTCCCCAGGGCA